CACTTCCTTCAAGACAGATTTGTTTTTTTATGTTCCATTCATTGCATATTCAGTAATCTTTGTCAACACCAAAATGCAAAGGCATTAATTCTTTAGTCATCCTTATTCATTATCTGTCTTTGAAATTAATAGGAAACAATTGAAAATGATGTGGCTGGATCTGGCACATATTCGACTTTAGACTAACATCCTTGCTTTTTAGAACTTTGGAGAGATCCCTGGTTTCCCCAGTATAATACATCTTTTGTTTTCTTGACTGCTGTTGTTACTTTGGGTGTTGATTTTGGATCCAAGTAAAATCAAATAGTTGAAAACTTTAATCTTTTCTCAATCTGTCTTGGTGTTGCTATTGACCCATGGTGAGGATTTTTATTTTCTTGATGTTGAGACTATCGCCTATATTGTAGTCTCTGATTTTCTGTAGTAAATACTTCACTTTTGTCATTTGCACAATACAAGTTTTTGATGAGTCTTCCTCCATTCCTGATGCCACATCCTTCTTCATATAGTCTAGCTTTTTAAATTATTTCAACATTCAGATTCAAAAAGTATGGAGAAAGTATGCAACCCTGTCACACACCCTTTTTTATTTTAAACCTTTAAGTGTTCCCTTGTTTTATTCAGATAACTGCTTATTGATTGGTCTGTTTATAGGTTTTGCATGAGCACAATTAAATGTTCTGGGATTCCCATTGTTCTTTATGTTAGACATAATTTGTTAGGATCCATATAGTCAAATGCCTTTGTATAATCCCATTCTTCTTTATGTTAGACATAATTTGTTAGGATCCGTATAGTCAAATGCCTTTGTATAATCAATAAAACATGAGTAAACATCTTTCAGTTATTCTTTGCTCTCTTCCAGGATCCATCTGCCATCAGCCATGCTATTCCTGGTGCCATTGTCTCTTCTGAATCTTGCTTGAATTTCTAGCGGTTCTCTGTCAATGTACTGTTCCTACTATTTTTTAATAGTCTTTAGCAATATTTTACTTGGATATGATAATGATATTGTGTGATCATTTCCAGTGTTGAATTACCATTCTTGGAAATAGTGACAAATATGGATCTTTTCTAGTTAGGTGACCAGATAACGGTCTTCCAAATTTCTTGGAACAGCCTGTGTGCAAGTATAAGGTTGTGTCTGTTTCCTGAAACATTTCGCTTGGTATTCACCAATTCCTGGAACCTTGTTTTTTGCCAGTGCCTTCAGTACAGCTTGGACATCTTTCAGTACTGTTGGTTCTTGATTATGTACTGCTTCCAGAAATGACTGTGTCGGTTCTTTTTGGTACAGGAATTCTGTGTATTCCTTCCATCTTTTGATGCATCATGCATCTTTCAAGATTTGCCCATAAAATTCTTTATAACTTGAGGCTTAAATTGGTTCTTAAGTTCTTTCAGCTGGAGAAATGCTTTTGGTTTTCCATCTTTTGTTCCTTGCACATTTCATTATAACTTGCTTTGTCTTTTCAAGCTTCCTTTTGAAGTTTTCTGTTCAGCTCTCTTGCTTTTATTTTGATTTCTTGGCTTCTTTTTGTCCAGTGCAATTTTAAGAGTCTCTTTTGGCATCTATTTTGACCTTTTCTTTCTTCCCTGCCTGTATAAAGACCATTTGCTTTCTTTATGGATGATAGCTTTGATGTCATCCCACAACTTTGGTGCCTAATCTTGTTGATTTAGTAATCTTATTTATAACACAATTACCACGATACTTACCTTTGTTGTTGTTGTGTGCCGTTGAGTTGAACTGACTCATAGATGACCCTCCAGTGGGTTTTCAGAGGTCGAAAATCACATGAGAGTAGATTACTCATCCTTCTCCAGAGCAGCTGGTAGATTTGAACCATATGCCTTTGGGTTCTAGCACACCTTCTTACTGTTAGGCCACCAGAGCTCTCTACTTACCTTTGTTGTTGTTGTTGATTGCCATTGAGTCGAGCATGGCTCTTAGTAACCCTATGAACAAAAAGCCTGAAGCTAGGTCTATAACTATTGACGTTTAACAAAGTTCATAGAGTTTCCAGAGGCATGTTGTTTAGGAAGCGGATTCTACTCCTGCTTCCAACTTATCTTTAGAGTTATTTTCATTATCAGAGTTTCTGAGTGTTGCCTACAGGGTACCCACAACCCAAACCTTCTGCCGTCAAGTTGATTCTGACTCAGTGGTGACTCTTCATTCGGTTTCTGTGGCTGTAAATCTTAGAGTAGAAAGCCTCATCTTTTCCCTGGAGAGCAACTGGTTTGTTTGAACTGCTGACAACATTTAATCCACTGTGTCACCAGTACTCTCTTCTGATAATATAGTGGCCCTCCATAAATGAGCACTGTATCAGTTGATGATGGTAATGATGTTTAAGAACAATAATTACTTGCTTTCTCCTGAACATCATACTTACCTAACTAGAACATGTGAGATGCTAATATGCTTTATACCACAGCAAGGAATCATCTTCAGTGTCAGGTCAGAGAAGCATGTTACCTGGGAATTTTCCATGTGCATTTAGAAAATGTTTTTTTCATAGCTCAGGTTTGAATCTTAGTGACTCCTTGGAGAAAGATGGGCTGCCTCCTCCCTGTGTAGGGAGTTAAACCTTGGAAACCCACTGGAACAACTTGCAAGTTACAATTTGGAAACCCAGCTATGAGGGTCGTGACTTGATGGTAATGAGCGAGTGAGATAGTTTGATTACAAAAGAAAGAAAACAATTTAGCCACACAAAAATGAAATGTAGAGCTACACGTTTGGCTAGGTATGTACTTCTGGGTTGTTGTTCTGTGCAAGCTAAATTGTTAACGATCTCAATCTCTTCTCCATCCATTGTGGTGCTGCCAATTGGCCTAGTGGTGAGAATCTTTGTCTTCTTGATGTTAAGCTTTAAAATTTATTGAAGATTGCAATCGTTGACTTTCTGCAGCAAATGCTTCAGGTCCTTTTCAGTTTTTACAGAAAAGGTTGTATTATCTGCATAATGCAGGTTGTTGATGGATATTCCTTCTGTCTTGATGCCACATTCTTCCTCATAAAGCCCAGCCTCTCAAATGATCTGTTCTGAATAAAGGTTGAAAAGGTATGGAGACAAGACACATCCATGACACACTCCTTTCCTAATTTTTAACCGTGCTTGGTCTGTTCTGATGATTGCCATGAGCACAACCAGGTGTTCTGGGATTCACATTCTTCTCAAGGTTAGCCACAGTCCGTTTTGATCTACACAGTCAAATGCCTTTGCATAGTCAATGAAGCACAGGTAGACATTACTCTGGTACTCTTTCCTTTCATCTGACATTGGCAATCATGTCATGGCCTCCTCTAAAGAGCTTGTATTTCTGCCATTGTACTGTTCCAGTTGTTTTTGGATGTTGTTGTTGTTGTTGTTATGTGCCGTCGAGTCATGCTGCCTCTGACACACCCATCCCGATTACCCCAGTCACTGAATCAATCCATCTCATAGAGGGTCTTCCCCTCCTGTGCTGTCCCTCCACCCTCCCAAGCATGATGTCCCTCTCCGAGGACCCATCCCTCCTGGCAACATGTCCAAAGTATGTCAGACGAAGCCCCAGAATCCTTGCCTCCAAGGAGCAGCTTGGTTTAATCCTCTCCAAGATGAATCTGTTTGTTTTCCTGGCAGTCCATGGTACATTCAGTACTCTTCTCCAGCACCACAGCTCCTTCTGTCCTCCCTAGTCAATGTCCAACTCTCTGATGCATAACAAGCAATTGCAAAGACCATGGCCTGTATCAGGCGCACCTTAGTCTCCAGAGAGACACCGTTGCTCCTGAGTACTTTAGAGAGGTCCCTAACAGCAGACTTTCTCATCGTGATATGCTTTTTGATTTCCTGACTGCTGGTGCCAAGAGTGTTGACTGTAGAGCCAAGCAAACTGAAGCTGTGAACAATCTCAGTTTCTTCACCATCCATCCTGACGCTGCCAATTGGTCCAGTGGTGAGAATCTTTGTCTTCTTGACATTGAGCCTCAGTCCATACTGAAGGACTTCAGAATTTTGCCTGTATTAGTGATATTCAGTAATTTCCACACTCTTTTCACATCACCTTTTTTGGGGATAGGAGTAAATATGGATCTCTTCCAGTCACTTGGCCAAATTCCTTGGCACAGCCTGGTGAGCACGTACAGGAGAGCACCTCTTTGTTGAAGTCCAGGTGTTAGCCCAAGTTCCAAAGCACAATTTCTCAATTAGTCCAGGCTCTGGTTTCATTTTAGCAGTCAGATCCAAATCATCTAGCAAGGTTTGCCTCCAAGCAAACGAGCATCCAGTATGTTATAGGTTGTATTTCTGGGTACTTTATCCTAATAGGTGAACATGTAACTTGAATAAATAAGTGTGATATTAGCATAAAAGTTGGATTTTTTTTTAAGCTCTTATAGTTAGCCTCCTTGGTTTCCAGCCCCCTTAACTTTTTACACAAATGGTCTTGCAAACCAACATGATCTTACAAGTCATCAATAGCTATGGGACTAGGAGAAGAGAAATAGTGCTTCCCATACTGGGCAAGAAGACTTGAGGGAGACTAGAGCAAGCCCCTGGTGAGCAAGGTTCCACCCTAGTGGTGAAGAACTGTGGTATTGCAGTGGAGAAAGTGTGGCAATGTATAAGTAGAGGAACCTTGACAGAAAGGTCACAGTTCATGATTTTTGCTATTCTTGTTGGATGCAAGAAGGAGAAGCTGATTTATAACTACTCTGACTGTGACTCAACAACGAATAAACGAACCTCTTGCTGTTGGTGAGACTCTTAAGGTGCTGGGCTATGGGCTCTTTATCTGCTTTCTACTCTGGGGCGGTGAGGGGCTATGCTGTTCTTATCCCTCTGGCCCTTTCAGAAAGATATTCATGGCCCTGTGTCCCATTTTCTCCTTTTTAGACACTTAATATACAAACTCATTTAATAATTTGCCCTTCAAGTAGCATAGCAATCAAGACAGTTATAGAATCATTTATTTGATACACATTAATTTTTATTCTTTAACTCTTGCAGGATTACTGGAAAGTTCCATTCTAGGACTAAATGAACTACAGTTGACACATCAGTCTGCTTGGATTCACAGACAATTGAGATTTTCAGCTGGGAAGCATTTGTTCCTGCCTGTTTATTGAACTTAAGAAACCATGGCGGAAGGAGAGACACAGTCACCAGGGCCTAGAAAGTGTGGCCCATATATTTCATCTGTTACTAGCCAGAGTCTGAACTTGATGATCCGTGGAATAGTGCTGTTTTTGATTGGAGTATTTCTTGCCTTAGTATTAAATTTACTCCAAATTCAAAGAAATGTGACCCTCTTTCCACCTGATGTGATTGCAAGCATCTTTTCTTCAGCATGGTGGGTACCACCATGCTGTGGCACAGCTTCAGGTATGTGTAGGATGTTTCCCTAATGCTTAGGAGGGAAATAATATCAGTGAGTGTGGATACTGACTGAGCTTATAATGTTTTTAAAAAAATCAGCAGAAGGAAACCTTGGAGGCCTAGAGGTTAAGAAGTTGTGTTGCCCACCCAAAGGCAGGAATCTACCAACTGCTCCCTAGGAGAAAGATGGCAGTCTTCTCTCATGGGATTCACTGCCTCTGAAAACCTACTGGAGGGTCAGTGGTGAATCTGCTTCAACTTGGATGTCAACGAGTGTTGTTGAGTTGTTATTAAGGTATAATTTAAATACAAAATAATGAGCTTGTTCTAAATGAATAGTTTGATGAGTTAAAATGCAGTTAAGTAACCACCACTACTACAAACCAGTTACAGAACATTTCCATAGTGCTCCAGTTTCTCCTGAACCTATTGCATTCTATTTCACATCCCTAGTATCAAGCTATAGGGTCGCTGTGAGTCGCCTGTGACTCACCGGCATTTAACAACAATAACATCAACATAGAGACATCAGCTGGCCCGGTGGACAGAAAACGATGCTACCAAGCTAAAGGTGGGTGACTTTTAATCCGCGGCCCTCAGATTTCACTGTTTCTGTTCAGACATTCCTCTAGGTCGTATAGCCCCGGTGTACAAGTTGCTGTACAGTGGTAACTTGTGGTTGCTGTGAGGCTGAACACTGTGACACTGATGTGTCAAATGCTTTAATGGTTGGTTACCCTATGCAGACAGAGAATGGAGTGAAGCTCCCCGATTAAAACAAGCTTAGAAGGAGGAGTGGCACCCACCTCCATAATAGCTTGCCTCCAGAAACCCTATGAACCTGGAGAGAGGATGAAAGACACCCAGGCGTTGAGGGTTACTTCATAGGGTTACTATGAGTCACCTGCGACTCGGCACATAACAACAACAACAACAAAAATATCAAGCTACCATTGCTCTTTCTGTTATACTAGATTATTTTCACATATTTTATATTTTAATATAAATCATAGAATATTGACTTTTGGTGTCTAGCTTCTCACTGAACCTCCTCTTCTCATTGCCATCATTTACCAATGCATTACTGACCTGCCAGAGGGTTTTCAGAAGTTCTAACTCACATGGAAGAAGATTGCCCATTTTTCGTCTACAGAGTAGCTGGTAGATTCGAAACTGTCCAGCTTTGAATTGTCAGTGCAACTCCCTAATAATGATATGAACTGAATTGTTGTTGTTATGTGCCGTCGAGTTGTTTGTGACTCATAGTGACCGGATGTACAACAGCCCTAAACCCTGCTCTATCCTGTGCCAATCGCACTGCCTCTGACACACCCATCCTGTTTACCCCAGTCACTTAATCAATCCACCTCATAGAGGGCCTTCCCCTCCTGCGCTGTCCCTCCACCCTCCCAAGCATGATGTCCCTCTCCAAAGACCTGTCGCTCCTTGCAACATGCCCAAAGTTTGTCAGACAAAGCCCCAGAATCCTTGCCTCCAAGGAGTAGCTTGGTTTAATCCTCTCCAGGACGAATCTGTTTTCTTGGCAGTCCATGGTACCCTCAGTACTCTTCTCCAGCACCACAGCTCAAAGGCATCAATTCTCCTTCTGTCCTCCCTAGTCATTGTCCAACTCTCTGA